CACGACGGGGTACTGCTGCTGCGTGCGGGCTGCGGTGGCTAGTTACGGCATGTGGCTGCAAATTGCTGCTAACTGTTGACTATGGGCGAGCCGCTGCTAGCCGCCGCTGCAAGCTACTGCATCTAGGGGCTGTGTGCAATCTGCTGTTGCGGTTAGCTGCTGCTGTTTGCTATTGACCGCTGTATGTTGCTGCACACTGCCGCTGGCTATCATGGACTGTTACAGGCTGCTAGGCGGCCGCGATTGGACTGAGGGGAGGTATCGAGACTTGGAGAGGTGATCGGACCGGACAAATAGGGGGCTAGTGCTGCGAATTAGNAGGCTGCTAGGCGGCCGCGATTGGACTGAGGGGAGGTATCGAGACTTGGAGAGGTGATCGGACCGGACAAATAGGGGGCTAGTGCTGCGAATTAGTGGATTGTCAGGGGGTTGGGTTCGACGATCAAGTTCAGCAGTTGACCCTGGTTTGATCAAGCTGTCACATTGGCTTCCATTGCGGGGCCCTCAGGCGAACCAAGATAACAAGCCCCCCTCACGCGAGTCTGATTGCACCCCTCTGAGAGTCTCGAAACCTTCTCTATCTGCCTTTCTTACTCCAAGTCTAGTCAATTGGTTACGAGGGGAAGGCGACAGGCGGGATTGCAACCCGTAGGACCGCAACAAGACTCTGTGGGGAGTCTCCCACCGATTGCGGGAGCTCTGCCGGAACCTAGGCGAGGTTCTGGAGGCAGCGAACCATCAGGTAACTTCTTTCTGTCTATATACTCCCACTACACCCATGTTTGCATATCCCCCTATAGTTGATTGATGTATGTCCCCCTGTCCCTATAAAGCTTGCTTTCTATTCAGGACATAACCAGACAAAGTAAAAGAATGCATGTATAAAGTTAAGTCTCAACTTCTTTGATTGATTGAAAGCAGATTGTGGGGTTGCATCTGGGGGAAGGGTGGGAGAAAGACAGTATGGCATGAAGGTTGACCGGGTCAACCAAAGGCTGGGTCAGTTCCATAAGTTTGGGAAGGCCCAGTGCTATGTTTCTTTTGTATTGTCAGGAGGACCAGACGAATCCATAAGTTTGGGTGGTCTAGTTGCTCTGACTTGTGAGGGCTGAATGTGATTGCTTCTTCAGGCGCCAGTCAAATCCATAAGTTTGGGTAGTCTGGCGACCTTGTTTATTTGGGGGTTTTGACAGTTTCTTTGGTTTCTGAACGAGGAGGTGAGCATGTCCCATAAGTTTGGGTGGTTCTACCTCTTCCTGCTTTGGTCTAAGAGAAATAACCCAGGCTGAGGACCAAGACATGTTCCATAAGTTTGGGTGGTCTTGGTCCAACGCCTCGCACATGCTGGAACCAGAAGGCTGTGACTTTGATAAACTTTACTATTATACTATCTATGAACAGGCTAGTTAGGCAGGGTTCCATAAGTTTGGGTGGCCTGACTATAGCTTATCACCAACTGAAGAGAGTACTTAACTAAGAATAAGCTTGTGGTACGAAGGGGCAGGCTGAGTCTTGATCTGAAGATGATCGGCTCAGCTATATGCTACCTCAAAAGACTAAGTACAGACAATTATATAAACCTTGGATACTTAAACAGTTCAGGGCGACTAGGATGGCCTAGTCATATGCCCAAAGAAGAGAAAAGTTGTTGTGCCCTGTGTTTGTGTATACTTCTTGGTTGGGCTAGACATGTTCTATACGTTTGGGTGGTCTAGCCTTATGCCCTATGTAAGCTGGGTATAAGGGATAAATCATTGCAAGGCTACAAACTATTGTTTGCTAAGGTAACTTGGGAATGGTGAGAGCGTGCATGTTTGTGGTTTGGCCTGCATGTGACTGAGTGATGCCACTTCTTAGTCTGAGTTTGGATTTGATAGGTAATTGTTGTTGTTACTCGCCACGTGCTAGAGCCATAGGAGTTAGAGTCAATTCCTGCAGTTTCTAGGCTCGTCTCTTTTTACTTAGGTCGAGTTCTGTATTTTTCTGGGATCTTTTTCACACTTGGTCTTGTATAAATCTTGGTAAGCCACTTTTCCTACGGGAAGCGCTGCCGAAATTTCTACAAAATCAAGGAGTTAAACAACCATGACTTATTCAGGATCCGGTCTTGATGACTGTTTGGCTTAGCAAGAATATGGGGGGGGGGGCTCCTTTTCTAAAGGAGGTGCTGCCCAAATTTTTGCTAATTCAGGGAGTTAGCCAAAATTGGGCCCTGAAGGATCAAAGTCATTTTCAGATTCCAAACTTGGCCTTGTACAAATCTTGGACTAACACTTTCTCTACGGGAAGCGCTGCCGAAATTTCTATAAAACCTAAGGAATTGTTTGAGATTCTATCTGACAGACCTTAGACTTTATGTCTAAGTTCAATTCTGACTTAGTATGAATCTGGGAAGCCTTCCTCCCTGAAGGGAGTGCTGCGCAAATTTTTGCTAAGCCAGGGAGTTAGGCAGATTTTGGCTTCTGGAATCCACAAGTTTGACTTTTAGGCTAGTATATTTTCTGCGATGTCACTTTTCTTATGGGAAGCGCCGCCGAAATTTTCCTAAGTTAGAGGAGTTAGCCTATATTTAGACAGGTGGCGACATATGTAGGAGAGGCTATGGCGAAATCCACCTTACGCTGAGTTCTAGCTAGGGGTAGACTTAGGCTTAGTCAGATATGATGACTAAGTAAGATCAGGATATGGAGATTACTCCCCCGGGACGTATAGACTTAGTTTGAGGTTGGCCTGTCTTGTGTTACAGGTCGCTTTGATCGGTCGCGTCAGGACGTGGACTAGACTCAGTTGATCCTACAAGGATCACTTGCTGTTATCACAGATAACAAGTCGGTTGCCGACTCGTCGGTTTACGACTCAACCTCAACCCACTCTCCTTACTCAACCTAAAGAGGCTTCAACCCAGGTGATCTTTTCTGTTTTGTTAAGGTTTTCACCCGGACTTTTATTGAATGGCCATTTAACAAAGGTACTAAGTATTTACTTAAGGTTGGTTGGCTGGAGGTTGGGGCTTGCATGGCCAAGCAAAGGGTATGAGCATGGAGATTGGTTGGAGTTGACTCCGTGTAGTGTATGGATGTCTGCTTGACTCTTTGATGTGATTGCAAGTATGTTATGTGGCTTGGATTATTGGATTGGACTGCCCTGCGATCGTATATATGTGCATGAGGAGGCCCACTGTGATTGTGAGCTGTGATCGTCACACGTTTATTCCCATATGTGTATATATGTGTGTACATGTGTATGTATGCGTACCTATGTAGGGTACTTGTGTGATCTGAAGGGTCCGCGTGCCAAGGACCTAATCCAGGGTTGGAATGAATAGAAGGGAGGGAATGACCCCTCTCTCTCTCTATATATATATGCTTCCTTGTTGGGGGGTTATTTTGGTGGAACGATAAAGTTCCGGGCGGAAGGGTCAGCGTGTTGCTGGTGATGCGCCAGACAACTCACCACCGCTCCAAAGCCCTTCCTGCCCTAGGGACCGTCTTACCTCGCACCCTTTGGGACACCTCAGGGTGCAGAAGGCGGTAAAGCCCTCAGGCCGGTTTTGCGCCCGCTAAAGGGTTACCCCTCTTGGCGCACACGTCAGCCGACGCCTGAGCATCGGAAGCGACCGCATGGCTCAGAATAGGCCATTTGGGTATGGGCACCACATAATGCGCCGCCATCGCAGTCACTCACGCAGAGCTGCATAATGAATTGGTATGCGTGGATCCTAAGTCCGAGCGATCTTATACTAAACCTCGCGTATGGCGGTTACCGACTTCCACTGCGTAAAGTTATGGGTTGGATACAAAGGGGCTAGGGGTGTGTCGCGTTGTACGTCCTTTGCGTCGTTCAGTACTTGTGTGCGTGTGTGCGTGTGCTTTACTTTTATGTACCTTATAGTGGTGTGCGCGTGGCGTGTGGGATACGTCCTAGTCGACCGGCGACGAGCCGCGCTTGGGATCTCAGCCCCCCAAGATGTCGGTTCGCGTGCGGGTCCGATAGAGGCGTAGTACCGCGCGAACCCCTTATGCTACAGCGAACGAGAAACGCCCTCGGCTGGTCCACCTCTGCGATTGCAGCTGATCAGCTTTCGTACTGTGGACTGGTAGCTCGGCGGGGATACGCCCACCGAAGGGAGGTGACAGCTCTCGTAAGGTGGAGGTAGTCGTGCCTCGCGTAGGCCCTGTCCTGTCATAGGGGCTCGCGAGAGGTATGGCTGGCGCACCCGGCCGGAGCGGCTTACGGAAACTCCACATATGTATCGCAAAGAGGACGTGTGTTTCGGCTCCTGCGTGACGCGGCCGGGAGGGTCCCGTGCTACCTCTGAGTGGTGCCGGGCTGATGCGCTCGACAGCGCTGTGCTGCAGCTACCTCGAAGGCGAAGCTGGAGCTATGGCGCTGCGGGTAAGTATGCCTGGCCTCCGCCCAATCTCTCTCCCTCTAGTACTATTCTAGCTCCTATGGCGGGCAGCGCTGAAGACTACTGCTAGCGCTACAACTACTCCTGCAGCGCTCCTCCAGAGTGCTGCTGCCGAATCTTGAAGACTACCTCCTGCCTCCTGAACTGCACGTGAAGTGCCTAGGAACTACCTAGGAACTACCTACCGACCTGCAGGGCGGGCCAGTCCTATATAGTGCTAGTCCGTCCAGGAGGCTGCTCTTGCCAATGCCGAAACGTGCCAGACCCTGGCGTTGAAGCTCAACCAGGGGTTGTCTTGAAAATAGGCCTGAAATGGCCTGTGCTAAAACCCTGGTTTGTTGCCTGAGTTTCAGGGCGGGTCGGACTGATGAGGGCCTGAAAATGGCCCTCAGTTTCAGGCTGAAAATACTCAGGGCCGGAAAGGCCCTGATTTAGCCTGAAACGACACAGGGCATGTAGGCCCTTGTTTTCAGGCTTTCAGGCTGAAACGACACAGGGCATGTAGGCCCTTGTTTTCAGGCTTTTGGCCTGAAAACGTCACGGGCTTGAAAGGGGGCCCGTGCAGCCTGTTGCAGGCGCAGCATGTAACATCCTCCCCCTCCTCCTTCTTCATATCCTTGCACGCCATCGTCATCATCATCATCACGAGCACCACAACGGCCAGCATCCCATCAACACTGCCATTGTAACCCAAACACATCGCAGTCAGTGTCATTGTCATTGTTGTTATCACTTGTATCAGCTCGTCATCCTCCTCCACCTCATCATCATCACCATTGTCATCATAATCAAGATTTAAGCAAGCAATTAAGATGTGTTCCACAACCCATCTTCTCAGATCTGTCCCATCCTGTGATATCCACCACATCTCACGTGTCCATCACAATCGCATAAATCCGGAGTGCACACGCACCCACCAACACATGGCATGTGATGGATATGCCAAAGGCAACCGGGCGAGCACACACACAAAGATGCGCCTGTTCGGCTTTGCACGATCCGCCGGATGCCACGTGTCGCGTCCACACACACACACACACACACACGGATTTGTAATTTTTTGGCATGTTTGTGGCTGCCTTAGTGATGCGCAGGTATTCTGGTGGTTTCTCCGCAACTTACAGGCATGTGCACGAACTCAACACACATACAGGCAGACAGACATACAATCATAGATGGCTTGATCACACAAAAAAGTCAATCCATAATTGCAGGATGGAAAGTTGAAGGATCACCGGTGGAACTGTGTCCGTGTGATAGAATCAAACACTATGTCTTTCTCTTTCAGCTCTGTTGGGATCGCACACTGCAACACAGGACACAGAGAGGGTGGCCCAAATGCCGTTCCCCCTCTTCCTGCTCGCTCCTCCATCGATTCTCCTATTTGGAACCGTGCATGGAACTCCGCCCCCGGTTTCTCCTGGCCTCGGGGGAGCGTCACGGGTGGACCTCTGTAGGTTTTAAGGTATAAAAAATAATAAGAGAAGAGATGAGAGAAGAGGAGAGATGTAAGCACGCTAAGGGGTTGTGGAAGCGAACCGGAAAAGTATTGCACAAGCTGTCTAATACAGAGTTCCGACCTAGCCAGTTCTACCTCCTTACATCCATAGATAGGGAAGGTCTTGTTGTGGGAGCAAGCCGGGAAAGTATTGCACAAACCGTCTAATTCAGAGGTCGGACCTAACCAGTTCTACCTCCTCGGAAGGTCTTGTTCTAGAAGACGAGAGGAGCCTTGTGGAACTTCTGAGGAAGACAAGTCTTTGGATAATCTGAAGAGCTAGATGTAGGGAGACAGCAGGCAATAAGAGAATAACAATAGAAGAATCATGGGAGGAAGCAAAAGAGTTAATGGAGGCGGAAGCTGTCTAATTCGGAGTTCCGACCTAACCAGCTCTGCATCCTCGCAGCCATAGATAGGGAAGGTCTTGTTCTAGAAGACGATAGGGGCCTTGTGAAACTTCTGAGGAAGAGAAGCCTTTGCATAATCTGAAGAGCTAGATGTAGGGAGAAAGCAGGCAATAAGAGAATAACAATAGAAGAATCATGGGAGGAAGCAAAGGAGTTAATGGAGTCAGAGATAAGGATAGAATGGAAGAGACTGCTGCTAAGGGTGGATCAAAAACCCTCCAGAAGAGGGCTCAACCACAGAAAGATTTTGAAGTAACATGGCTGAGAGGAGGACTAGCGGCCCAGGTCAAAGGGTAGAGCTCTCAATTTCAAAGGAAAAGCTCTCAAATTCGAGGACTGGTGTGCATTAGGCACAGAGAAAGCAAGATGACCAGATGAGGATGTATACATGGAGGTAGAGCAATGAGAGTAAATGAGTGTGCAAAGAGGCAAAGCATCCAACCCATGGAACGAAGACAGGAAAGATCCAGCAGAAAACCGGCATCGATTGTGACACCGAAGGAACTACATGAGGATCAGAAAGGGCAGGGCAGGTCTGGACTCTGGAGACGTGGATAAGCCAAGAGAATCCCAGTCATTGCATGCAGCAAGGTGGTACAACATTCAAGCCTGGAGGGGAATCCCCCTACCCTGAACAGGAAGAAATACAGGAGATCCCCAAATTCTCCATGGTACGGCAAGGGGGTCAGGGCATGGCAAAGAGATACAGAATAAGAGCGCAGAGACCTGGCTTTCAGCAACGAGGGATGGAAGGAGTTAAGAGTGGCGCAGGAGATCGGAGAATAAGTAGGCTTCCTAGAGACGCTGTCCTGTTTTCCAACTGCAGACACCAGGGTTGGGTTGATTTGGCAGCGGTGTCAGCTCAGTTTGGCAGAGCATGAAAGCAGCTTCAGGAGGTCGTGGGTCCGATTCCCACGTTTTCCATCTGACTCCCCACGGCCTCCTGCGGCGCGCTGCGGGTTCACCAGCAGTGATAGTCGGCTTCCCCCCTAGCTGGTTGGTAGGGGCTATTCCTTCGTCCCTTCCATCCGTCACCTGGGGTTAGGCCCAACCCTACTGTAGTAAGGGTTCCCCATGGTGCTTAGGCATAGGTGGAGCCTGTTGCTAAGACATATAGGTAGGCAGGTAGGAAGCATGAGGTTAAAAAGGAAAAAATTCAGAAATCGGAGCCAAAGGACGCATCATCAGGTGGGCGCCCAGTTTCAACATCGTCATCTCCCCCACATGCAGGGCCTCTTCGAAGAGGGACAACTACAAAGCATCACCTTAGTGCCCGTTTTTTGTTCTAGAATTTTTCAGAAAATATGACAGTCAGCATTTAGCAGGCTGAGAGGGACTTTTTGGGACTGTTTTTTTCTGGAATGTTTTCCCGTGAGGGCTGTTCTGCAGCCAGGTGGCTGGGTCACACATGCGCAAGCCAAACTGGCAGTCAATCCTTCCGAAAGTAGTCACGCCGTCAGGGTTCCCCAGGCCATAACGTGGGGAAGCGTTGAGAGTGTGTGGAGTAAACTATGTACGGTTGCTGGCTTGCAGGGGGCATAGGAACCGAACTGATGCTCCCCAGAATGGATATGGACCTGGGCCATTAAGGACCTGTTGTTTGACATGGGGGGGTGTTGGGGGGGGGGGAAGGGGGGGAAGGGGGGGAAGGGGGGAATAAGAGGTCATTTGACAACCCACTTCAGTGGACTGAGAGGAAAGGCTCAGAAGAGCAGTCTACTCTCTCCAACTAGACAAAAGGATTTTTTTGAAATAGTTAAGGACTGTGTAAATGGATGGAGCAAAAGGCACAGAAGTCAAGTAAGGATCTGACAGCCAATCCTTCCAAAGGAAAGCCATGAATGCGGTCAGGATCATTCAGGAAATAGCAGCCACAGTTATCGTGAAAAACAGGGTTGGAGCAGTGGTAAATCCTCCGAATGAGGTAGCAATGAATGCTGCTGTCCCAGAATCTCTTGACCATAACGGGGAGAGACGTTGAGAGAGTACATGTGATGTAAGGGACGGTGGACCCAGTTTCCAGCTTCTTTTTTCTTTTTTTTCTTCTTTTCTTTTTCCTTTTTAACACAATATGACCCCTTCTATTCTGGGGGGCAACAATCCGGTTGCTTATCACCGGCAAGCATGTTTGTACATCCAGAGAAGGGGGGAGATGGGACCAGAGAAGGGGAACTGTCTAACCCTTGTGGTACTAGTCACCTAGCAAGGAGGGACGCGCAACAGGGGGTCCCACCCCCCCAAACCATGGCCTTTCTCTGGGGGCCACCCTGCTGGCCGGGAGGCACCCAGACACTTCAGAATGGTCCTCAGGGAGTCGGGGCGCAGGAAAGGGGCTCCCCTGCAGTTCCTCAGGCCCCCTATCAAGGCCCACACGTCACTACGTCTTCACTTTCCACCTTTGCCCACCTTTGTCCTACTCTCATCCTGTCCATCTTGTCCTGTTTGACCCGCCTTTGACAGCACTCTACTGCAATGACTTGCTGTTTTCTAGTCGCCTGTAGCCTCTCTCTGTCGAGGTTGTACTATAGGTAGGACAGATTCGTAATTTTGTTTGGCTCAGGGCTAACCGAGTGACCTGCCTGTAAGGAAAATTTGTGAGGGACATATCTGTAAATACGGGAAAATACAGGCCCGTACAAACTGAATTTCCTACAGCTAACCTAACTGTGAATAGCAGGCCCGGACTACCCCTAGGACAGACAGGCCCTACAGGCCTATTGTGGCATACTGCGCAGCCACACGGGCCTGCAGGGCCCGTCCCGCGGTCTCAGCCTAAAAGCCTAAAAACAAGGGCTTACAGGCCCCGTGTCTGTTTCAGCCTGACAGCCTGAAAACCAGGGCCTACAGGCCCCGTGTCTG